CACATTTTTAAATTAACAGAAGTCTTTAAACGTCTAAGAGAGTCAAATTTCAAAATACAACTAAATAAATCTGAATTCCTAAAGAAGGAAGTAGCATATTTAGGACACGTAGTCACCCCCGCAGGAGTCAAACCTAATCCGGATAAAATAAAGGCCATTAAACATTATCCTATACCCAAAACGACAAAAGAAATAAAAGGCTTTCTGCGACTCCTCGGCTATTATCGGCGATTTATAAACAACTTTTCCAAAATAACGAAGCCATTGACAAAATGCCTGAAAAAGGGCGCAACGATCGAGCATAACGAAGAATTTGTCAGCTGTTTTGAAAGATACAAAACACTATTAATGAATGAGCCGATCTTGCAATATCCGGATTTCAGCAAACCATTTAATTTAACCTGTGACGCAAGTAACGTAGCTTTAGGATGCGTCCTGAGCCAAGGACCAATCGAAAAAGATTTGCCTATAGCGTTTGCCTCACGCACTCTTAACGACTCGGAACAGAACTATTCAACTATAGAAAAAGAGTGCCTTTGCTTGGTTGGGCAACAAAATATCTCCGCCCATATTTATTTGGTAGGAAATTCAATATAATAACTGATCACAAGCCCTTACAATGGCTTTTCACATATAAAGACCCTTCTGCAAAATTAGTTAGGTGGCGAATTAAACTCGAAGAATTTGACTACCAAATAATTTACAAAAAAGGTAAATTAAATACAAACGCCGACGCGTTATCGCGAATCGAATTACATATTAAAGAAACAAACACCGGATTTGATTTAGGAGAATACGCTAATAAAGTTACTCAAAACCTTATTAACGAAACCGACATAAATTTAAATGAAAAACCCGGAGATTCAACTCGTAATATAAACGATGACAACATGGATCAAATATCCTTACAAGTGCAAGCGAACACTGAACCCGATATCCAAGTCGATGACGATGCAACAGTTCACTCAAACCAAGAACAAGATTTAATAGTAGGAGTGCCAATCCTAGAAACACCCATAAATTATGGTGCGAATCAAATATTTATTCGTGAAGTGTTACATTCACCAGCCAAAACAAAAATATGCATTTTATTTGAGAAAAAACGTAGAATTACCGTCCAAATCTCCACAAACAATTTCGAACCAGATATTATGGACTTTATAAAAACTTACATTGTACCTAAAAAACAATATCACCTCTATTTTGAGACACCCGATACGTACGAGCGATTCTACGAAATTTTACGGAAAAATTTTAAATGGCCCTCTATCAATTTTAAACGCTGCCTCACGAAGTTACTGGACGTCACCGATAAGGAAGAAATTCCCGAAATCATAAAGAACTATCATGAAAGTAAAACAAACCATAGAGGCATTGAAGAAACCGAACAAAAAATTAAAACCAAATATTATTGGCCTAATTTAAAGAATTCAATTCAGACTTATATAAATGATTGCGAAATCTGCCAAATCAGTAAATACGAACGCAACCCAGTCAAAATACAAATGAATATAACCCCAACTGCAACACGACCATTTGAAATAATTCATTTAGACACATATACTTTAGAACACACAAAATTCTTGACTATTATTGACAGTTTCTCAAAATACGCTCAGGCGTACCACCTGAAATCTTTATCAGCAACAGACATAATCGATAATCTCCTAATTTATTTTTCGCACCACAAAATCCCTAAGCAAATTATTGTTGACAACGGGACCGAATTTAAAAATTTTGTGGTCACTGAACTTCTGCAATTACACAAAGTCCAGATTCATTTTTGCTCTCCGTATCACCCCCAGTCCAATGGAGTTGTAGAACGCCTACACTCGACTCTTGCTGAACACATTCGATTACTAAATAATCAAAACTTTGGCAATACTCCAATCAGCCAGAAAATGATTTATGCCATTCTAGCTTATAACAATTCCATACATTCTACAACAAAACTTAAACCAACTGACATAATTAATGGACATATTACTGAAGACAATCCTTATGATATTAATATTGAACAAAGTTTACTAAGCGATTTATATCAGCGACCATAAAGATAAAACGAAAATCTTGTATTCCCAAATTAATGAAAGGCTTGTCAATTCGAAAGAAAATGTTAGTAATAAAATTAACGAAACCCGGGAAGACCCCGAAATATTTGAACCGGATAAAAATGTTTATGCCAAAAAACATATTAGGCAAAAACACGCAGATAAATTCTCTCGACCTAGCAAGTTGCTTTCGGTGAATAGAGAACGCAAGACTGCGAAAACTGAATCCCAGGAAAAAATAAAACGTCCTCTAAAGAATAGATACAGTTTTGCTAATTACTGCCTCCTTTTTCAGAGTTCTCCAATTAACACTCGGCTTCGAAGAAAAAATAATCGTGAGAGAAATTACGGACAACCCTGGAGTAATTCCATTTAAATTAGGACGAGCAAAATTGCAACAATATTCTCACACATTAATTCATTTTTACGATTTAAATCCAATAATTTTAGAAATCAATAAACTTCATCTAAAATCTTCAAATTTAGGCCAATTAATACGCAATACAATAATTCTCAATATTACGAAGATGCTTCAAATTACATTAAAATATTAACCCTTATAAAAGATAGGGTTGAAACAAAAATTAAAGAGATCATTCCCCATCCTCAAAGAATAAAAAGAGGTCTGATAAATGGGCTAGGATCGATATTCAAATCTATAACAGGAAATCTAGATTCCGCCGATGGCGAAAAATACGAAAAACTTATTTTTGATTTACAAAATAATCAACAGAAGTTGGTCTCGAGTATTGTTAAGCAAAATTCGATATCTTTAAGTATCATTGGAAAATTTAACGCCACTATCCAGCATATTAACCATAACGAAAAATTGTTGGAATCCAAATTAAATCAAATTGCTTTAATAGTGCAGAAATCTGTTTATAGAGAAAATTCAGCTTACATTAAAGATGTCTTAAATCAAATTATAAATGTTTACGAAATCATCGATTCTACTTTACAAGACATATAAAATTCTATAACTTTCTCTAAGTTAAAAATACTACACCACAGCATAATAAGCACAGAAGATTTATACTCTGAATTGCTAAAAATTCAAAACCAAGTCAATGTCAAACAAATGCCACTAGAAGTGACCTTAGAAAATACTTTTCTTTTGGAAAAAGTCATAAAATTGGAATGCTTTATTCTTAATAATAAAATAACTCATTTGCTGCACATTCCAATAACATATCCAATAGAATTCGACTATTTTCATCTCTTTTCAATACCAATAAGGAGAAAAGGTCTATTTAAAGTCATTATTCCTCAAAGTAAACTTCTTATAAAAAACCAGTTGCACTTTGCATATCGAAGTCTAGAATGTCAAGAAATTAAAACACAATTCCATGTATGTGACAAAACTGATTTAAATGAAATCTCCAACGACAGCCCATGCGAAGTCGAACTGTTAGAATCCAGGAAAAATGCCAATACCTGTATGCAAGTCGAGACTGAAATCTCTAAGTCAATAATTAGACGACTCGACGAAACCAATCAATGGGCCCTGATTCTGCCAAAAAAAGAAGTCATCCGCCTGCAATGTGACAATCAAGATGAAAGAAGGAACCTATTTGGAACCTATTTAGTCCAGATACCAGGAAGCTGTAAGATTGTTGTTAACCAAGAAACAATCATCCATAATCAGAGATCAATACCAACCCGGAGTCAACCGATCCTGTTCCCCGACTTTGAGAATGAAGCTAGTTTGCTGCCTACCCTCAACCTCAGCGCTCATCTAGACCAAGTAAAGTTAGATGAACTTTACGAAATCAGAAGCCAAATACAAGAAAATGAACCTCAACTATTTTTTGATCAAATTCCAACAACACCCAGTATATGGACAATTTCCATGTACATTATTATTTTATTTCCTATAAGTTTTTACTGCTACAGGAAATAGGCCGAACAAATGAAGCCACAATGACGAACGAAAGCATCGAACTTCAAGATGTTCAACTACCTCGTTAACCATGGAGTTGAAGCTTTGGGGGGAGGAGTTACCTCACACCCTGTACATAGGATAGATGCCAAACTGATGACCGCCAACTTTTGCTTCTGCTTCGCTTTTAGTTTTCAATATGTTTTCTTTACAATTGTAATGGTGCTTTTACAGTTAGTTAGAGTCTTAACTTGAAGCTGTAAAGACATCAAGTAATAAACTTGTATTTCCGAAAATAAATTAATTTTTTGAAAAGGGTTCTTGTCGTTTCCGTTAAGTAACTCATACTACATACATTACTTACAATATCGTTGACTTAGAAGTAAATATTGAGGGTCCCCTACCAGATCCTATTACCTACATCATGCTATTGCACATGCAAAGCAGGAGCTAGTACTCCGGGTGTGTGTGATGTGCATGTATCCTGCATTTTGTGGTATTTGGGATACGGAAGGCACCAAGGAAATGAAGTGCATTATCCTTCAACGAGATTGTTGAATATCCGCCTCTGTCATTATTTATCAAATATGATTTATGAACTTATTTTTAGCCTGATACCGAATTACTTTTTACTTTTTCCAATTAACACCGCACAAAGAAGATTTTTCCCAATTTTTTAAACTTCCAATGTACGCCACTGGACTTACATACTAAAAATTATTTTGTATACCCGCCGCTGTTACTATCCATCAAATATGGGCTCATTTTTAGCATCAAAATGCAAAAACAATGCAAAACTGTATTTTGACGCCCGTAACTTTGATATGCCACTGTAGCCAAACGAGGGGAGCCACTATATTATAACTTACTTTTTTGTGAAGTACTTATCCATACCTACAACATAATAAAATTTAAAGAAAATCGTATGGTTTCGAAATGCTCATGTATCGGGTGTAAGGTCCTTTCAATACAAGAAGAAAAAAAATGCGTTGCAAAAGGAAAGTTAAAAAAAAAAATCAACCTATTGTATTTCAATTTTTTATTATCAAAATAATTTTTATTATACTTGATGGAAATCCATTACATTCAAAATTTATTTAATTATTTTATATAAATATCGATAACATTCAAAATTCCTGAATTCCAAATTTAGAAGTTTAGGTGTGGTAGAAAAAAATTGGTTACAAGAATCCAGCCTTAACCCAAACTACTTATTACCTACATTACTTTGATTAACCAGTTATAGTAATTGGACCGGAACTAATGCCCGATCCAAGCTAATCATAGAAGAAATGTCAACCGTAAATATTCAATAGCTTATGCGTATATTTTCGTTCAACAATGATTTTCTTCCGATGGAAAATATTGTTGGTAATTTATTTTTTTGTCGGCCGGAATTTATTTGATGGGAAACAGCAGCAAATTTCAGTATAGACAGACGCACGTAGGTTGGTAAAATCAATTTTATTAATATATTTCAGATTCGTTAAAGTTTTTCTCGTGTTCGTCTTTTATTTTATCTTTTGCCGTTTTTATGCAATGCAGCTCAAGGATCCATATTTTATACAATACATTGTTCTATGCTAGCTCAGCCATTACTTTAGGCTTATGCAAGTTTTGTCTAGAGTGATTTAGTTTTGAGTACCTGACTTTGAGCTTATAGTGCCGGAGCATAAGTAAAGCTACTTTGGTTACTCGAAATTGTATTAATATAAAATAAAATAAAAACACGCACAAAAAGCTTAAGATATTTTACGTGGTACAGACAAAGAAATTTACATTTTAAATTATTGAAACCTAATAAGTACTTGAGTGGTAGGTATAAAAAAAGTATGTTCGAAACAAACACTTTCATCGGACCAATTAATTATTGTGAGAAAATATTATTAGCTGCACATTAAAATAAGCTGAAAAACAAAATAGTACCTAAATTAAAAAATATATATCTATTAAATTATGTACAAATAAATAATTGGGTATATCTAAATTTTATTCTAAAATAAATAATTTTATGCAGAGAGAAACCAACATGTTAGAATAAATAAAATAAAATTTGCTGTTTGTGAACAATTCTTTACTCATAACAGTTTCATACTATTAAAGAAGGAGACAGTGCAGAAAATTTCTTTGAACCACATCTGGTATAAATAATTTCGTCTTGTGCCTACTATAAAAATATGCAAATACATATCAACATAAATTGATCTGTCTCTTTTTAATAAGAATTTTTTTCAATTTTCCCAAAGGTATTTGACTCCTAATTAGATTATAACGCTGTTGTTGACGCTATATCACACACCTGCTACAATGTGAAGTTTTACAATCTATCGTTACGAATCTTATTATAAAGTGTTCTGAATTTGAAACATTGGAAATTATTTTCCGTTATAGTCAATCTTGAATTTGCCTTTGGGGGCACTCACAGGCTTACTTAGGCAAAATAACATATATTTTTTTAATTACTGTTGGAATTAGTATAACAAATAACAAATAAAAAAAAAAATCTGCACTGAAAATTAGGATAAGAATTATCTGAGGGAGTTAAGAATATTGTTTCTATCAGTCACATTTATGAATATTGTTTTGTTTGTCCACGACTCAGAAATTGTCATAAAATAAGCAAATTTTAGGTATTTTTGATCTATGGCTCAATGATGCTGTCCAGATTTCAATCCCATCACTGCAGCAAATAGGGCAAAGAAGAATCCAGCTAATCCAGTAGCACCAGTCAGCAATATTAGGCCACCAATCATTACAGGAATTAGAGTGAAAAATTTGAGTTTATAAGCTATCAAAAGTGGCATCATGTATTTTTTCATTTTCTTTTTCATTCCCCCTTTTTTGCCTCGACCTTCGTAATTGTCTTCGTCTAGGTCTAATTCTGTAGCTAAAATAAAAAGGAGACATTATATATTTCGTGATGAATAATCGTGATTTATCTATAAGGCATGTTCTAAATTTAAATCTAAAACGTGCTAGATACGCCGTTCAGTTGTCATTTTAAAGAAGCTCTTGTATGTACTTATTTCGCTACTCAAACTTAATTTTCATGGCTTTGCAAATTTTGTTATCTACAATTTAAAAAAATACGTAGCGGTTGCAATATTGCAGTTATGCTTGGAATTTCTTTTAAAAGTCAATAAAATTTTAAGTCGCTGTGCTATATTGATTTATTGCTACCAGATAATTTTCGCAGCAAAAACTGGCTCATCTGTTGAAGTGAGAAACAATCAATTATTTTTGGTTTTCGAATTTAAAAAATCAATATTGTTTATTTATCGATTGGCATACTTGCTTAATGATGGTGGTGACAGCATTAATTTTCTATAATTGCGTTGCATTATGCACACCTAGCTATAATAAATATAATTCATGTAGAGGAAAAAATTATTCAAAGTTGCCAAAGAGACAAAATAACAGGTGGCGCGTTCTTGTCTTGTATCGAAAATCTATAGAGGGTTGAAATCTTGTTTGCCAAATTAGAGATTAATAGTCTAACTCAACTATCACAAAGTAGTTTTCATTTCACTTGTTTTTTGAAACATCATCATATTCGATTAGGTCGAATTGATAAATAATTTTGGTTTATCAATAATCTAATATTTCGATAATCAAATAATTCGAATATAAATGGTCAAAACCACTATCAAACTACTCAACCAATGGTTATGAAACACGGTTTACTTTTAAGTCGTCTCTTATTCTTCCTCATCCTTCTGCTGCCAGTGTTTTTTACATTACTTTTATTAACATATTTTCTTCTAAAATAACAGTATTTTCATCTCGAATTGCTTTATGATACTGTTGGGCCATTAAAAGAGACAATCTGTCATAAATTTTCACGGCACAGTACCAGAAATTTATGTTTATGGTGACATCTCCGTTAACTCATTAATTTGTGTTTTTATTAACACTTAACACTCACATTTGGGTAGTTTTATTTTATTTCACGCCAAACATGGAAAAATCTCTGCACTGCTAATAGATTTACTATAAATGAAATCTTAGAAACACAATCACTAAAAAAATGATATACCTACATTTGGTTTTGAATTTCTGTAGCTACCATTACCTCAAGATAGAGCCCTGTTGGTAAAAAAAACGTAGGTAGACCTCAATTGAAAAAAGTAATTATCATTAGAGGTTAGCAAATTGATATTCCATTTCTTAGAACTTGATTCTAGACAACGATTTTTTGAAACCCCCAACATAATGTTAATATGTATGTACATACCTACATTTCTAATATGCATAAAATATTTGGAAAATTTACCAATTTCCATCTCTCCCCTACCCATTTCCACCACAGCGCTCTACCTAGATATTTTTTGAAAATAGTTCAATTCAAAAATACATAAATAAAAAAAAAAAAACTATTTTGTTTGGGAAGCTAGAGAAAGTGGACTAAAAAAAGAGTGTAAGAAAAGTACCCATACATGATTGCTACTTAACTGACTAGCTCTTAAAAAAAAAAATTGCTCTGTTCTATAAAATTATTATTTTTGAAAAATTATAATAAACTACCTCTTTCTTTCGGTGACATAGGAATACTGGTTTGAACGGTCCATGTCGCTACCGTGGGGTACATAGTCAGTGACCCCTGCCATGATTGCGTTGAAACACCAATTCTATTAGATTTTTCCAGTCGTGCTTCCACCCCTTCGTTTGCAACTGTGTTAATTTCATTATCGCAGCACCCTGTCACACACTTTGAGATACAGTAAACCATGGATACCATCAGCCAAAATGTTCTGATGTTCATTTTTTTATACACAAGATTTTATGAAAACTAAAATTAAGTCACTCGAACTCAGGCCGGTTAAATCATAATATTCCGTAACTTTTTGGTAAAGCCAATTAAGACCGCTTGGGTTATTTTTCGAGTTTGGTTGTTTCGCGTCCCACTACCAACAAGTCTCTAGCAGTAGTGCCAACCTGACTTACTGACATTGAATAGCATTTTGTCTCAGCATTTGTGGCTTTGGAAATGAACTGTTTTTTTTTAGTTTATAATGCTAAATATTAGCCTGCGTTTACGCTTGAATTCTTTTAATAGGAATGATCGAACCATATAATTTTTGCGGTACTACAGTGGCGCTGCGGCGACTTTTTTTCATCAAATGCGGCTGGTTTGTGGGTGATTAATGGGTTCAAATAATTACTTATACATGACAAACTGATACTCATAAGCGGAATTTCTGTTTATTGTGGGGTATGATAATTTTATGATAAAATTGTCAAATGGTTTAAAGTGAAATTATTCACTAGAAAATTATGATACGGTACCTACCTAAAAACTATTTGCAGAGTGCCTACTTACGCCGACTGATTGAATTTCGAAATTGACCTTGTTTGTCGAGTTTCTTGAATTATCCATGCAATTTTATAATAGGACTAACACGTTGAAAATTCTAACAGATTTCAAATTTTCTTTAATTGTTTGCCAAAAATCGGATTTTTGAATAGTATAGTTTATGGATTTTTTCCAATTGTTCTAGCCTCGAAGTATAAGTAACTCAAACTAACCGATTTTGACCTCGCTGAAGCTGGACTATTCGAGAGTTTCTGGAAGATTAGTGAATTTTACACTTATTTTGTACATATTTTTCCATATTTCATGGGAAAAAGCCAGAAGAAAGCAGAAAGAAAGCATTATTGGGAAAAAATTGTACTAATTTGTGGTTTTTATTGCAATTTTGAACCAAAAATACGCCTAGGAAACAATTTGTATAACTATTCGCTTCAATTTAGATTGTTTTCCCGATTATTGAGACACCTCATGATAATAATATATGACGCTGCTTGAGGATGATCTGGCGCAAATAAGTCATAAAGAATGTTCCAAAAAAAACCCAAGGTAGTTTGAAACATTATTAAGACGACGATAGCGATTAACGTCGTCCAATTGTTGGCCTAGACTTAAGGGCCAAATTTAGTTGTTCCTTGAATATTCCTTGAAGTCGCGAGTTTAGAATGGATACTAGCTACTATTTGACAAGTTAGACATGTCAATTCTAAATGTTCAAGGCTTCCTTAAGGTCTGAGGAAACCTCAAGCACCGACTATAAATTCGGCACTAAGTGCTCTACGCTGATTGAATGTGTGAAATCAGATTTTGGAGCAAAAAAAAAAATCTAACTACAAAATTAGCGCAAACATTCACAGGCTTATTCAATTTTCTCGTCTTTTTTTTTCAGTTTTTTTGTCAAGAATGTGAAAAACAATTTATTAAAAGTTGCCTAGCCGAATTTTTTAAAATCGATGCAGGAATGTTTATGTCAATTTTAAGCCAATTTTGATATATGATTGTCAACCTGTCCGCTGACTTATTGCCTTGAGTTTGCGGATGCCCTTCGACTCATCTGATAGAAATTCTGTTTTTTTGCACGGCAACTACAAGTGAGTTGTGGGATTCAAGTACGGACCCCGAAGCGAGTTTAGGGCTTGTTTACTTTCTGTAGAGAATATAATAGTTTTGTCCTCGATGTCTCTATAGACAATTTCTTCGGCGGCAATGGATATCTCAGCCAGTTCGGTCCGGACAACGCTGAAGTATTTATCCATAGGCTGTTTGAGCTGCAAGCGTCGAGAATAAATTCCACAACTGGCTTTGGGCCATCTGCGAAGGACATTGGTCCGCTCACAAAAGACAAATAGTCCAGTAAATATATGGGTTTCTCAAAAAGTTTTACGAGGGCAGGCTGATTTTTTTAGGGCTGATTGGAGACTGTGTCCTGAGTATTAAGCCAAAAAATCACACTCGAAAGCCTTGTGCGTTCGGCCCAATTGGACTTTTTCTTATTTTTTTTTTTTTCAACAAAATAACCTCTAAAAAAGTTGTAGATAGTTACATTCTGATCAACTTTGCCTCATGACTTTTTTGCTAGCTATTTTATTTTAGGCGCTGTGACTTTGCTTCATGATATTTTATTGTAACCTTATTTATTTTGCTTGTATGGCCTTTTAGGCATCTGCATAATTGTGTATCATCATAACTTAATGCAGTGTTTTACGCAAGGAATACTCCTCACATAGGGGAGGTTGGAGCAAAGTGGCTCCTGGGGGCAAATTGAATTACCTTAAAATGTCCTATATACTGATGACATATATGCGCGCTTCTAGGCTTGATGATTCCTCTTAGGATACACAAGTAACTAGTTACCTTTCAGCTGCGATCAGATACGCACGCGTTTTTTACGGCAAGTGGAAAGTTTTGAACCACGCGCTTCTAATATTCAAAGGTAAGTAAACTCTAAGTATACCCACTTAAGTATATGAATAGTTTTTCAGTATTACAATTTTTTGAATAACATTTTATGTGCTATTAACATGTCTGTAAAAGTAATGGAATGAAAAACAAATGTGATTTTTTATTTATTTGAATAATTTTTCGATGTAGGTATGTTGGGGCAAAGTGGTTTTTCTTGTGTGAGGCAAAGTGGTCAGCATAGCCACTTTACCCCATAGTCTAAAACATATTGATTTTAATTTCAACATTTCAAATAATGAACTTGTGTCACAAATTAATATAAAAGATTGCGTTTTTTCAGAAAATTGGCATAATGGTGCGTAACTATAAACGTAAAAGCCAGCAGCACTCTTGGTCGGAGGAAAGTATGGCAGTAGCGATCCAAGGCGTTAGAAATAACATATTGACAACAAAAAGGGCAGCAACACAGTACCAAATGCCCTTAACGAAACTTCGGAGACGAATAAAATCTAACAAGGAACCCGAAGCAGCATCCAAAAAATTGTTGGGACGATTTAGACCTGTTTTTTCCGCAGAAAAAGAGAAGGAACTGGCTGATTTCATCTAAGAGATGGAAAGTATTCTTTTTGGCCTTGGCACAATGGAATTGAGGCACCTTGCCTTCCGATTTGCGGAGAAAAATAATATTGCACACACCTTCAATGAAGTTAAAGTTCTGGCAGGGCGTGATTAGATCTACGGCTTTCTAAACAGGAATAAAAATATTTCTTTGAGACTACCACAATACGCATCAGCAGCAAGAGCTTCCTCTTTTAATAAATTCAACGTTAACTCATTTTTCACTCTTTTGTAAAAACTGCTGGAAAAATACAAATTTCTACCCAGTAGAATTTTCAATTGCGACGAGACAGGTATTTCCACGGTACCAAATAGGCCTTGAAGAATATTCTCTATGAAAGGCAAAAAGCTAGTTGGCAGTCTGCCTTCCGCTGAAAGAGGCACTTTAACAACAGCCGAAATTTGTTTCAACGCAGCTGGATTTTACATTCCGCCTCTGCTGATATTTCCGAGAGTATAAAACTGAAATACCCAAGACAACATTACGGAGAGGAAGTAAGTATTTATAAATCATGTGGCATAGGTACTATTGTGTACTTTAGAAGCGTCGGAGCCAAATTATTTAGGAGACTGTTCGAATATTAGTAATAGCGAAGACTTGATTTAATTTATGATACATTCGGGACGCAGTATTTGCCGCCATATTCGTTCGCAACCCTATGACACAAGCACATCTCTTCCATCTGACTGCTTTTTAGATGACGTACATAGCGTCATTCCAGAAGAACTAACCGCATTTTTAGAGGAGCTTATCCTGAAAGAGAAAAGTGGTTCTAGAGAGACCTGAAACAGATTATGTACATCCATTTCGCATCAAATTATATATCGAGCAAGACCGCGCTGATTTTTGTCAACACTAAGATTGGGAGTAGGTACTTTTCTATACAAAAAATTTGGTTCCAAATTACTTATTGACGTTCTCTCCTTTTTGGGCATTTCTGCATCATATACCGAGATACGAGAGTATAAAATCGCTGCAATAGAAAGACCCCAACGCCATATTGACGAGTCTGCTTTTATGCAGTTTGTATTTGATAATGCCGACTTCAACATCAACAATTTGGATGGGCATAATACCTTCCACGCGATGGGCAGAATCCACTGCGTTACACCTTGCAGTGCCATTGAACCAGACAAAGCCATCACTCGAAGACCACAATGGAAATCTAATTCGCTTAGTGACGAGTATGGAAAACTGGAAATCATTCCTTACAAGCTTGAAAAAAATTCCGGTGAACGAACAAAAATACTGTTCCTGCCGTTCATTCAGGAATGTCCTACCGATTACAACATAATCCATACGTCATTACATTTAGCGGCTGCTACAGTAAAAATCAAACGAGAAGAAGCCACTGTCGTTAGCGCTGACAAAGAAAGCAGATTTCCTTTTCTCCGGGTCCGTCCCATTTAAAGTGAGACAAACGATAACGCGTGTGGCTTCTTCTCGATTGATTTCTACTCTACTGCAAAAAAGTTCCATCAAGTAACTTACTTCGTAACGTACGACCAGCCCTTGTACTGGAAGACCCGTAACATTATTGCCAACTCCCAACAGATCCCAGGAAGTCTCAAATGTGGTAGTGAGATTAGGGGGATTCCATCTGCTAATGTCATTCTTAGGCGCCATTGGATATATAATGTCGGGCAGTGAACTAAGCGATTTGCTAAAACTAATATATTTTCCAAATTTCGTGGACAAAATTTTATCTGGGCATGCTTACGCTCGAGCCATCCGTGCCCATCGTCTTGTCAACCACAGTCTTGCCAAAATAGTTCTGGACATGGTAGACTTTACCGATGAGGACAGAGATCTTATGGAATTATTTGTCTTTGGGCGACAAGAAACACCTATTTTAGCCACCAACGCAGACATCCAACGTGCTCACCGCATGTTTAGTGATCGACTTGAACAGCTGGTACATGCCAGCCCCACCGGAAAACTCTGGGTTCAGTACTTTAAAAAGGTGACACTCATCAAATATTTGATCGAGGCAGAACGAACGGGAAATTGGAATCTCCACCTTGATACTTTACAAAGTATGCTGCCCATATTTTCTACTAGTAGCCATCATCTCTATGCGAAAAGTGTCCACCTGTAGCTACAGGATATGATCGGTCTTGCCGACACCGCGCTACCAGAAAAATACAAACGGTTCACTGAGGATGGTTATTTTACATTGCGCCTAACCGATAAATTTTGGGCCGGTTTTTACCCGG